TTTAGCGTGCACAAAGCCCCACCTCAATATTCAGGGCCAATGAATAAAATTAAATTGCTACTCATGTCTCATCTATGAACTACTTTTTGTATACCCAGGGCTATGAGGTCAGTTCTTACAACTATTTAGTTTATTATCCAAACATGTGCCTTTATTTGTGAGACCCGATCTCACTGTGCAGTCAACACTGGCCTTGACTATGGATCTTTGTGCCTCAGCCTCTTGAGTGCTGGGCTGACGAACAACTCACCCCGACTTTTTTTTTAAAGATCCACTTTGTTATCAGTTATGTGCATGCAGCTGTCTGCAGAGCCAGACTAGGGTTCAGACCTCCTGGGGCAAAAGCTGGAGGCAGTTGGGAGCTCCCCAGTACGGGTGCTGGGAACTGAACCTCTGCAAGAGCAGCAAGCTCTCTTAATCACCGAGAGATCTCTCCAGCTCGCGCTGACTTCTGAATCAGAACTCATGGTTCCCGATATAAATCATGAGGTAGGGTGGTCCTCGTGAAATGTGCCAGTCTTTAGGGGAACTTGTACTTGCCTTTGCCTGACCTTACACAGAGAATCCTCGAGAAGAGTGTTATAGTTCACTCCTAATGTAGTGCTACAGGAAGGGGCTTTAGTTCACAGCACAGGGTTCTGAAACATGTTTTACCTCGAGATTGTCCTGGGAACTAAGAATGCAGCCTCTTCCTCTAAATTGTTAGGTCAGACAATGTGTAAGCAGGGCAAACAGACCTTCCTGAACTCTGGTGCCACAGGTTCACTGGTCTGGTTATCACAGGTGCTCTTTTGTTCATCCAATAACACACACGTGGAACTCGCTTCCTCGAAGCCTGCTCTATTCTTAGCTTTTGGATAACTCTCTCTCTTTTTTTTAACAGCTGAAACGAACCACCATCACTTGAAAAGACTGAAGAGTAATTCTTAGAATTTTTTCTGTTTAGTTCTTACTCGCAAGATCTGGTCTGTACGGTAGTCTCCTGGTTAAATTTTGTACTTCTCAGTATTTATTCAGATTGTTTGTGTAAAGACCGCCCATCTCCCTTTTCTTTTTCATAGTTGAATTATTCATACTGAAGAGTCACTAAAGAGAAACACCAGGCTGCTCACAACAAGCCCACTCCTATAGCCTGAAGCACCTACTGTGTTAGCCTTTCATTTTAAGAGCTTAACACCCAGGATTGTTATCTACCTCACTCACACTGATTTATATACCCTCCTCAATGAATGGGAAATTGTTTTAGATCAGAGGTGGAGATATGAAGAAAACACAATTCTATCATTAAACCATTCGTTGCTTCTTTACTATATCCCAGGTACTAGGATAAGGAGTAGGATACAGTGGTTAGCAAACCAGTATGGCCTTATAGAACTTACTGAAACAGGTATATAAAAACAGTGCGTGTTAGATTCACCACTGGGTATCACTCAGCACATAGCAGGCACTCCAAAGTTTGTTGAATGAATGAAAATGGCTAAGTATATAAGCTTTGCTATGAGCTGGAAACAAACAAGGAAACTGTGGCAAGATAATATGGTAGAAATAGAGAAAAATGCAAGGCATATCTAGGAAGAAGATAGAAGCAAGAAGAGTGAACCATGGCAAGACTGGAAACACAGCATTGCAGTTGGACAAAATGGGGAGAGAACATCTCAGGAGAAGGCATCATCTAGATGAGGGCTCTGAGCTTAAGCGAGAGCTTGGTATGTTTCAGCTGGAAGCCAAGTGTGGGGGGGAGCGGGGAGGAGGGGGGATGTAAAGAGGTAAGTGATGGAAGATCACTGAGACCAACGTAAGAGGTAAGCAGGGGTCTTGTAGGACATTGTAATGGGGGGGGGGTGATTTTACTCTAAATCAAATGGGAAGCGAATGAGAAGTGACTTATTGCCTTAAGCAGAGTCACATGATTTGATTTGTATTTTCGTTTTTAAAAACACACTCTTTCTAACGATAGAACAATTAATTGTGAGCACAAGAGAGTTCCCACAGTCTCTTGTTAGTTGTTATGATCCAAGCGAAGGAAGGATGGGAGTTTAGACTAAGGCTGTTGTGGTAAAAGCGAGTAGAGTAAAGATTATACACTGGCAATAGAAACAACAGACATGTTGACAGACTGGATGCAGGGAATGAGAAGAGGAATTAAGGATGACTTCCAGGTTTCTAGCTTAAGCAACTGGGTGGGAGGAGGTGCCATTTCCTAACATGAAGAACTGTGGGGGAGAAGTCCTGGGGTATGGCGCTGTTTATTCTTAGCATGATTTTCTTGAAATGTCTGTGAGCTATGTAAGTGTAAATGTCAAGTAGGCAGTTGAATATCAATCTGGAGCTTTCTAATAGGAAGTTTATGACACAAGTCTTATAAGTGGCACAAGGCTTAACACGTCCAAAGAAAAATTTCATGCCTTCCTGGGCTAGAGGAATCTTCAGAAATAAGTTGGCATTAGAACCAAAGGAAAGATGATTAAGAACATTTCAGGAGTGGACTAGGAAAGGCAGAGGACAAAAATCCGAAGGTACATTTAGAAATCGAAAAGCAGCTCAACGTGGATGGAAGAGAGCTTTGTATTTGGCTTGTTGGAAGATGGGTGTACAGAAGAGGGTACCCCAGACAACACAGGGCTTGAGAACCACGCTAAAGAATTTGTATAACATTTTGTGGGCAAAAGTGAGTAATAGCCAGTTTTTGTTCAGAGACATGACCTGATAAGATGTTAAGAGCTGTTTAGTGATATTAAGAAGTGCCTACCGAGGAATGGGAATAGGAGATGAAGGAGGCCAATTAAGAATCGATTTCAATTGTCAAGAAGTGAGATAATAAGCACCTACATGCTAACTGACAAGTAAAGGGAAATATTTGTAAGGAGATTTATGTTAACCTCAGAGGAAAGCCAGGAGGAGGCACCTCTGTTTTCTTCATTGTTAGTACCTGTTTTGATACTAGATCACGGCTTCTGGTAAGGATGGGCAATACTCCAGTCTTTCCACAGTGATATTTAACATGAATTCAAGGTGTACAGGACTGTTTATCTAGGATGGGTCACCTTTCAAAGTGTATTGTCTGGAACTAGAGAATCCTTTTATTGCAGTGAGGTCACAGAATGTATCAGAGGGCAGAGTACCAGAGTAGCCTCTGAGGTTAGCTGACAGTGTGCCATGTTTCCAGAAGGAAACACCATGGAAGACTGCTGACATACAGGTAGGAGGTCTTGTAGGACATTTGTAAAAGGTTTGAATTTTACCATAAGTGTCTGTATGGTATCAAGGTAACCAGGTAAGAAAGCAAAGGCTCTGCCACTGGAGCAGAGAGACTAACACAGGTGGGTGCCGCTGGAAGAAAAATTGTGAGTTCAAAGCCATGGGCAGACAGGACACGAACCGGGGAGTTTGTACAGACAGGAAGCACCGGTAAAGATGAGTTAAGTTTTCAATCTTTTCCCCTCTAGAGTTCCATTATCTGCCTCCCCCCACACATCCAACAAACGGCTACACAGGCTGAACTTTCCATTCACTGAAATTCCTCCTTGCCTGGGCTCCCATTCATAGTATTCGGATTTGTGCTAAACCCCACCCTTCCCCGTCCCCATCTGACAAACAAGTATCACTGAGAAAATAATTGCATGTGATCCTTCTCTTGTTAATAAGCCCATTGAGACAACCGAGGTCTTAGATATACTGATGCAAATGTCGGAAACAGAAGATAATAATACAGCCTGCTAGAGCTGCGGTGAGATAGAGTGGTAGGAGCACGGGTATGTTTGGGTACCATTCTAATGGGGAAGCCTGGCTATGGCCTCATCATATTCTCCACAGACTCCCAGGAACATTTATTTATGATGGGCCTCCCTTCAAAGGAGGTAAGGTATCCTTGGGACAGTCCTCTGAAATAAATCTACTGAGGAAAACAGAATGACTACCCCAAGTGTTTTGTTTATACTAGGGAATCCTTTTACTGCTGGTGGATTCTGCCTTCCTGTTATTATTCCTATCCTCTGCATCCTAGTTTTCAATGCAGACATACACACATACATAGGTGTATGTGTGTATGTATATATATACATATATGTATGTATACTTATATGTGTATATAATATATATATATATTATATATACCATCACTGTTCAGCGTGTTTTCAGGAGTACTTGCAGACTATATACTACATAAATATAATAAAGCAATGGATTCATAAAATACCTTCTTTTCATGAGTATCACTCTGAATAGCCTAGAAATTATGCAGTTACACTACAAGGGATAGCAACTAAATCTTTCTAATCTAAAATATTTTTTGATACCTGGAATTTAACAATGTAGTGATACATAAATTGTGATCCTCGTATATTTATTTTCACATATCTATTATTAAAATAATAATACCGTGGGGAACTGGTGAGTTGGTTGGTAGGTTCCTTTTATGCAAACCTATCAGTCTTACCAAACACATTTTTCACCTTGTGGATTTCTGCACATTTGTTTATGCTGTCTCTCCAGAGGTACTGTTAAACTCAACAGAAAGTATAAATGTAAAATGACTTTAGACTTTCATAAATGTCTCATTTGACACCCAAACTCAAGCCTACTTGTTAGCTTTCAAAACAATTTATTTTGCAACATAAGAAGAACAACGAGAATGTAATAGAAAATTTGAAAAGGGCAAGAAGATAGGAAGAAGGAAAATATCAACCATAATCCTACCACTTAAGCAACAACCGTCATTAAGAGCGTTGCTATGCTCACTCCTTAACCTTCATTAGGTCCCACTTATGGTGTACTGCCTTCCTTTAAGTTGCTCGCCTCTGTCTTCCATGTCACGCCTATACCACTCAGGCACACCATACCCTTCTTTTATAGTTAGCTAACTTGCTGTGACTTGTGCTTCCGGCTAGACTGTTAGAACCCTGGCAGGGCTGGCAGCATGACTTTTCCCACCAGGTGAATTGGACCCAACATTTGCTGACTGATTTAATCCAAATGAAGACGAACCATTAGCAGAACACGAAATAGGCCACATATCTAGATCATGAAAATTAGTGCTTTCCAGTCACCTAACTTGGTGACTATTGCTTTTCTGTTCCTGGACTCTTAAAAGGCTATTTAATGGGCCTCTTTCTTCACACCCACACTGAATGCAAAGTACACTGATTAAGAACCAGGACTTATTCAAAGACTTTCAATATAAGGCATAAAGGTGAAAGGGAAAGAAGGAGGCTGGGGGAGGGATATGAAGGGAGAAGGGAAGAAGAAGCAGCAGCAGCTGGGGGAGACATATAGTACACAGGCAGTAAAGAAAAGAGAAAGCTAGGAGAGGATATATAGTCTGGTGCTCAATCCAGTATGCGATTTGCCTCCAGCACTGTGTACAGGATCCCATCCACTTGTTCTGAGTCATACCCGATCTCACGAAGCTCCAAGTGAGGGAGGACAGAAGTAAGGAGATAGCTGACGTGGATACGTAGCCGCGTAAGCTTTGCCAAAGCCCTGTATAATGGAGTGAGGGGGTAGGAGAAGAGATGACAGGAAGTCATTAGCCAACAGAATAATACGAAGTTCCTGCACAATGGGCCTATAGGTCTTAATAATTAGGTCTCCATTAGGTAGGAAGAAGGCAGACGGAACCATGCCATCAAACACGGGGAGACTGGCTGCGGCTTTCTAAGGAATAATTACTCAATCCGTGGTGGTCAATGAATTAAGACTTTCTCCCCTATGACCAGTAAACTGGGGGTCTTAGTGGATAATTCCCCTTAGTACTCACAAGGTGATAACTAAACCCTAGTAATTAACCTTTCTAGGTCATCTCCCTCTATATTCCGGTAGGAGACCTGGGCCTTCTGCAATACTTCCAAGTGTGTCTCTGTCTCTTTCAGTTTCTCTTTTAGTTCTTGCTTCTCCTCTTTGGTTCTTTCTAGCTCCGCTTTCAGAATCTGGAATTCAGCTTGGCGATAACCCATGTGCTTCTTGCTCCAGTATAAGCCTTCAGTCTCCTGGGTACTATAGGTCACCAATTCATGTTGAGCTCTCTTAAATTCAGAATGCCAGTGATTCTTCTCCTGTTCCAGCTCCTCTACCTGCATTCCAAGAAAGACAAAGTCAGTGATCAATACAACCAAAAGTTAGAGTATCCCGAACCATTTCTACTAAATCTATCCTGTGGTTCTATTATTTATAATGCTTTATTATACTTATGCAAATCTCTTGTCAAACCTAAAATACAGAGGGAAAGCCCATTAGGGTCCTCTCAATCTGAGAATACCACAGACTAGTTTAACGGCATATTTTGTTTAAAAGCTTCAGAATATGAAAGAAACCACCAAAATATCAGTACCCCAGTCCAGTGGTTCTCAACCTGTGGGTCATGACCCAATGGGATTTCAAATGATCCTTTCATAGGGATCACCTAAGACTATCAGAAAACATGGTATTTACAATATGATTCATAACAACAGCTAAATTAGAGTTATGAAGTAATAAAACAATTTTATAGTTAGGGGTTCCCACAACATGATCAACTATATTAAAAGGTTGCAGCATTAGGAAGGTTGAGAAGCACTGCCCTGTCCCTTGGTTACAATGACCTCTTCTTATCCCTACTGGTAAGGCATTGCCCAAACCTTTTGCTGGAACAGATTCCTTTCAGCCAAAACACGCTCCAGTTTTTCTGTGGTTCTCTTCAATTCTTCCAGTTCTCTCTGGTTCTTTATCTTTGGCATGTTCCGACTTCCACTCTCCTGGTAGCCTTTTCCTTTGCCTGCAGTAGCTGTGGCAGGGGCCACAGGAGAATAAGGGTTCAGGTTCCAAGGTTCCGCTGCTGCCTTTCTTCTGCCTACAAACTCCTCCCGGTTGAAAGGCATTAGCTGGATGGGAGCTCCTGAATCTGCAAGTCCCTTCGCAATTCTGACCACCGCTACAAAAGGCCCTTTATTCACTTCTCTATTCTCGCTACTCTGGTTAGATTCTTCTGCTACCAATCTTGGCATCTGATCTTCTAATTCTTCAGGAAGCAGGGACTCCTGGTCTTGGTCTTGGGACCCTAGACAAAGTGCTGGAGCTTCCCTGTTGTGGCCTGTGCTCTTGTTTGCTTCTGGGTATTCTGGTAAGAGGTATGGTGGTGTGCTTCTCTCAGAACTGGATTTCTCAAGGCTGTCCTCTCCTCCTAGGTCGGCAATAGTGGCCTCTCCCCTCCTGTAAGGACTGGACATGGAGTAATCTATAGGAGATGGTGTCATATCATTTTGGAACCTCCTTCGTTTCTCCACAGGCTCCTCACTTAGGATCAATTTGTATTTACTGCAGAAAGAAGAAACAAAATTGTAAGCTGTCACAGTACAGGTTAAGAATATTCTTACTCTACAAATCCCCTCCTCAAGGCACATATTCTTTCAGGGTAGGACTATTATTGCCACGGCCAAGAGATGCTTTCTTCCTGAGAGTGTACTGGATGCTGTCCCTAGCGTGTCAATGTTAACAGATGATGTGGGACTTTTACTAGGAAGCCCCTTGTGGAGATTGTTAGGTCACAGGCTGGGGGTGGGGAGAGCGTTGTGTTATCCTCAGAAGGGATTTGGGTAGCACTCGTGGGACCCTGAGTTAGTTCTCAGGAAAATCAGATGCTGTAAAAGATGTAATGACTTGCTCTTGCACACAACCCTAATACTGTGATCCCACCCACCATAAGGCTTTTACCAGAGCCAAGATGAAAGCAGCAACACCGTGCCCTTGAATCTCTAGTCTTGTGAGCTATACAAACATTTTGTTTCTTGTAAAGTTACCCGATCTAACACATTTTGTTACATCAAGTAGTACAACAATTCAGCCCCCTCCCCAAGCCTCAACCCCTTCACTCGTGCAACTGGATGAATTGACAGCTGGGGCTAGGAGAGAAATAAAGTCGGTAGGTTTTAAGGGTTAGCATAAAATAGCCCTGTTAGAAGAAAACAGGAGGGGACTGACCTTGGTAGAATGTTTTCAAAATGAATTTTAAACCACCCTAACTGTCAAGCTTCCTAAAAGCAAATAGAGGAAGACAAACAAAAACTAAACACACACACACACACACACACACACACACACACACACAGAATCTCTTAACACAGATGGAATAAAAGGTCATTTAAAAAAGCCTAGGTGGGAGGAGGGGGAGGGAAATGGGAGGCTGGGAGAAGGTGGAAACTTGTTTTTTTTTTCTCCTTTTCTCAATAAAAAAAGAAAAAAAAATAAAAATGAAAAAGTGCACTTTTAAAATGGAAAAAAAAAGCCTAGCAGTGTATGCAGAAAAGAAAGCCAGCTCGTTAATTTTAAAGTATCACAAACCCTCCAGTATCAAAGACTTAGCATGTTTTTATATTGCAATAGTACTCCACACAATTCCTTGCCAGCCAAGTGGATTATGTCTATTGCCCACTATTCCCTTGTAAAAGTTAATTAAAACACAAGGCCCTGATTAGAAACAAAGAAAGTAAACCAATCAGATCAAGTTATTTCCCCATTATGACCAACACCTTCACTTGGTCAGGCCCAAACTGGAGCTCCCTTTGTTCTTCAGGGAAAGCCAGATTCCATGGCCTCAAATCACCTTCCCTTTCTGGCTACTACAAGCACTAATGTGTTATGGAATATTAATTTAAGATGTATTACATTTGTTTATGCTGTGGAACATTTGTTTAATGAAGCAAAGATGTGTTTCATTCTTTTCCGTTGCATTTGTTTAAGACTGTGAAACTGAGTTACCTTGCCTGTCTAAAATACTTGATTTGTCTAATAAATAGCTGAGTGGCCAATAGCAAGGCAGGAGAAAGGATAAGCGGGGCTGGCAGGAAGAGAGAATAAACAGAAAGAGAAAAAGAGAGAAACGGTAGCAAAAGAGAGGAAGGAGCGAGGACACTAGAGGCTAGTCCCCGAGCTACACAGCCAGCCACAGAGTCAGAGTGAAAGAAAGATCTACAGAAGTAAGAAAAGGGAAAAGTCCAGAGGCAATAGGTAGATGGGATAATTTAAGTTAAGGAAATCTGGCTAAAAATAAGCCAAGCTAAGACCAGACATGCATAGAAAGAATAAGCCCTCGTGTGTGATTTATGTGGGAGCTGAGTGGCAGGCCCCTAAAGAGTAAAGAGTAAAAAACAAACAACTACACTAACGGGTAAAGAATCTATCAAAACAGTTGGTGCCAGAGAAATCCATAGTGATCTTCAATAGGCAGAAGGATTGGAAAGCCATTTCCCTTCTTGTAATCACCCCCTCTCCAGGTGACCAAGAGATGCCAAGGTAAAAAACCAGCTGTTGAACTTTGGGTGAGAAAGGATCAGGCACGTAACTAGCCTCCTCAGAGGACCTCAAGGCCACCCATGTCTCTGTGGCTTCGGAGGGCAACTGTGAGACCTCTCAATCTTAACCTCTGAGAACACTCTATGAGTTTCTCGGAATCCAAACGGGCCTGCCATCCTAACAGCTCCTGTGATATCCTTTTAGCAGTTTGTACAATACTATGCAGAAAGAAACGCTGGGCACAGTGGTGCATGCCTCTAATCTCGGCCCTTAGGAAGCTGACGCAGGAAGATTGATGGAACTTTGAAGCCAGCCTGGGCTACAGGCCTGTCAGGGAAGGCTACACACTGAAGCTGTCTTAAAAAAAAAAGAACAAAGACAAAAACAAGTTTTGTGAAAGTAAATAAAGTTGTATTATTTGTCTGATCTTCATTTGCCCAACTCTAAGGGCTCTGTTCATAACAATTTCCGATTTGACTATGATCTTTCCTCTTAGGAATCTCAGACTGTTGGCTCCAACCTACGAGAACCCCCCCCCCTCATTCTCCTAAGTCCTAACCCCAATACTGACTTTAGAACTGCTTAGCACACCTTTCTTCCTGGAGGTACCAATGGTATCTCCAACTCGGTGTGTATAAAACTGACTCCTGACATGCTCCTTCAAACATGTTTCTTCTCTCCTGTTTCTTACTGGTGTTAACATCATCCAACTGGTGGCAATTTTTACAGTTTTATGTGGTGACTTACACTCCCAAGATGCTGGTTAGGGTACCATTACCTTTCTGGATGGCTGCAGCGGCTTCCTATGACCTCCCCCCCCCCCCCCCCGGCCAGCTCATTCACTATGGTAATCTCCTAAAGTCAGGCTTCAACATATTTAATTCCTTTTTAAAAACTTTTTATGTGTTGCTGCCTCTAACATAAAAGTCTAAATGTCTTAACTGGACAATCAAATCTTCCCATGCCAAAACACAAGGAACCTCTATGCTAGGTAGTGTGTTAAGCCTTATCTGATTCTCTCAATTGGAAGGCAGGCAGGAATATTATCTTAACTGCTTTAAGGGACGGTCAGGAAAAGGTTGTAATTGACTGCAGCTGCTAAGTGGCAGAGCTGGGGTATATAATTTGGCCCTAGCTTTATCTTCCATTACTTGATAAACACCAGACAAACTGAATTGCTGGGTGATTTCTTATTGTGATCCATTTGGCCACAACAACTCTCTCTTTTCTAGCATTACACATTTAAATCCTGCTTGCATGGTACTTTGACTTTCTGTAATACTGCGTGTGTGGATGCACATGCATACTGCATGTGAAGGCCAGTGGTCAGCATCAGGTGCAGTTCTGCAAGATTCATCTACCTTGTTTTCTGAGACAGGGTTTTCACTGCGGCTCGGGCTTGTGACCAGGCAAGGTTCCAGGCAAGGTTAGTGGGAGAGCAGGTCCCTAGGGACTCTTCTGTCTCTGTATCCCCAGTGACAGGATTACAAGCAGGCACTGCTGAATCTGGCTTGTTATGTGGGTGCTGTGGATGGAACCTGGGGCTTTGCACTTGAGTAATAGCACTTTATCAACTGAGCTATCTCCCCAGGACCGCTTGGAGCAATCTTAATATTCTTTTATAAGATGTGTTACCATCTATGGGATAAGAGTGTACATGTATGTGTGCACATCATACTTGAGTACAGACTTAGCACCTCCTTGACAGAGAGCACTTAATGTGGTAGAAACAGAGGAACAAAACTTTCATGTAAGTGGAAATCAAAATAGGATTATTATCCCAGGTGGTGGTGACCCATGTATTTAACCTCAGCACTCGGGAGGCAGAGGCAGGTGGATCTCTGAGTTTAAGGCCAGCCTGGTCTACAGAGCGAGTTCCAGAACAACCAGGGCTACACAGAAAAAAACACACAACAAAAACAGAACTATGGATTTCTGTTATTTATTCTATATTTCTCCAGAAACTCTGGTTCTGCCCTCTAGGAATCGATCCTAATACAAGACCTACACCTGCTCCTTGGGTAAAGATTAATTGTAGGTTTTATATGCTTGGAATTCAACAACATTGCTTTCTTTTCATTTTCTCTTTTTTTACCACATTATCTGTTGTTACTTTATATTTTAAATTATCTTCTAAGCCTTTTACGTTTTCTGACACAGCTACACAAACCATCCTTCTGCTACTCAAAATGCTTCCTGCAGCACTCCTCTCTGTTTGACTGTGAGTTGGCTACTTCATAAAGAACATGCAGAAGGCTATATTGAAATTAGAATATTTTAGTTTTTGGACATTCATTATCTTGTTTTTGACTCTGTTTAAGACACCATGATACGCAAAAATAAGAATCAACACTGTGGCTTCTGTACAGTGTGTATGCACTCATTTGTGACAACCTCTTTTTAAAATGCTGTGCATTTACCCATTTAGAGTATGCATGTCTATCAACGGCAGTTCTCTGCTTCAGACTTTGAACAGCTGGGATAACAAGCCCGGCTTTTCATAACTGATCTCTATTATTTAGTGTGTTTCCAACATTTATCCAAGGTGTATCGGTATATTATTGTCTCTCTGGTGTTGATATGGTTTGAGTATGCACCCCAATAATTTACATGTAAAAATCTAATCCCCCTTGTGAGATACAAAATATGGAAACTCAATTCAAGTATGTCTGGAGGTAGGGTCTTTGGGAGGTGATTAGGGTTAGATAAAGCCATTAGGGGAAAGCTCTAATGATTACTAGTGAGGGTCATCAGAACATAGGGAGAAACACAGAAGAGGACAGTGGCGAGGGAAAGAGACTGACAGAGACTGACAACATATAGAACACATATGCAGACACAGATGTGTGCTCCGTCTCTTGCCATGTGATGCCCTGCACTGTCTCAGCACTCTGCCAGCAAGAAGGCCTTCCTTCTCCAGAGTTAGGGATGTGCTAGTTAGAGTTAAAGCTTCCAGAACTAAATTAAATACATCTGATTTTCCATAGGGTTACACAGCCTAGAGCATTTCATTATAGTAAGAAAAA